TGACATCGACTTTGGCCCAGAAACCCAGCTCTTTGGCTGTGTAGCTCATGTGTTGGATCTCGCAGCACGTGAAGGTTTGGCCGTCTTTGGAGTTGTCGACGAACCCGATGAGCAAGAGCTCAGCATGAATGCCATGGACCTATCTAACCTTGTACAACCCCCAGACACTGCCAGCATTAAAGAGGTTCCCAGATGGGAATACGGGTCCTAGTGATCAGATTCCCATTCTGCTACTGTTACACAGTTCCATGAATATTTCCTGAGTAGCCATTGTGATATATGTAGTCAATATTTTGAAATGTGCGTCTCAATCTGAACAAAGTTACAGCATGTATTACACATGGTTTTCTTATCTAGATGAGCAGATAGCTGAGCGGACCTGTATGTAGCTGATAGCTAAGGATTTACTCAGATGTTTGCACATATGTAGTGTATGCTTTATGGCTCAGATGTGCAGTGCAAGATGATTTGATTCTCCATTCTTCTCTCAATGATATTCCCAGCCTAGGTCATGTTCCGACCAGGGAACCTATTTAATGCTGGCAGTGAGATGGCTCCACCGTTGATCTCAAATCTGTTACCCGACGCATACACTCTTTGGTTGTATTTGTTCGATCTAGCCCTCAGCGATCAGAAGCTTTTTCAGACACTGTTACATCAATTCGATCACTTAACAGAGCAGGTGGCAACCTCAACACTGATGTTGACACCGACCTTCAAGATGCTTCGCTTCAAGAGATTCTTAATGACAGCCAAGATCTGCCTCAAGATCAACCTGACTCTTCAATTTCAAAATCTAAGTCGACTGCTGTGAACCTTGTACAGGATGTCAAGACTCGTTGGAATTCAACTTTCATGATGTTCCTTCGTATTCTCAGTCTACGAGATGGTGTTGAGAAGTTCTGTGAGCGCCCTGATTGTAAACGATATGCTATGTCGAAGGTCAAATGGGATCAACTTCAGCAGATGTGTAATTTCCTTGAGCCTCTCTGTGATGCCACCGATGAGATGTGTAAGTCCAGGTTCCCAACAATGCACAGCATGATACCAATGTACATTAGTGTCATGAAGGGATTGAAGCGGGTAAGTCTTTCTTGTGATGTGACTCTATATCATAATCTGATTTGTGTTTGCTTTTAATCTAACAGGTAGAACATATGTATGACCACGAACAGCTTATCCCTGCTGCTCGCGATATGATCAACAAACTGGATAAGTATTTTAAGATGCTTATCAAAAAGCCAGCGGCGATTTGTGCCACTATCCTCGATCCTCGCATCAAAATGTCCTATTTTGAGGTTAGTAATCAATACAGTATTTGACTATTTTGATTAGCTGCTGATTGTATTCAATTCGTCTTTGTTAATCAGAAAGAGGCTACAGCCAATTTTTTATCTCATTACGGTATTACACCCTTGATGATGAAGGAAACTTTTATACGTGAAAGTAAAAAGTTTGAATCGTCTGCGGGGGTTGAGTCCAACACTCCGGACCCAACCAATCGACCAAAGAAACGATCTCGCCTAGATGAAGAGATCTTTGGCAAAATCGATAAAGGCCCTCAAGGTTCAATTGCTAGCGAGCTGAACCGCTATCTTGGAGAGATCACTGAGGACTTTGATACTAAGATCCTTACTCATTGGAAAGGCCGAGCACCAGCTTTTCCACTCTTATCTCGAATGGCAAGGTGCTATCTTGCAATGCCGGCCACCAGTTCCCCTTCCGAACGAGTGTTCAGTAAGGCAAAGTTGGTTTTATGCCCTTCAAGGAGCTGTCTCTCCTGCCGTACAGTCGAAGCTATTGTTTGTCTCAAAGACTGGTATCGGGTCTTTGGCCACTTGTATCGTTGTAAGAACACTTCAATTACAATCGATTGAAAAGGTCTCTTTCATTCCCTTGTACCCCATATACGTGGGATTTTCTTGATATTCATGCTCTGTTCCTACCCAAACAAGACTGAACCCCCGCGGGGCCCCGATGAGAGCCAGTTTTTTTTGCCTGCTAGAACGACCCCCCGGACCGACCATCCCCCGGGGGGTCGGGATCATCTGAAGGCCAGAACGACCACCGAGACCGTCGGGTGAGACCGCGGAGATCCCCGATCCCCCGGGGTTCGGGGCTCAGCCTTACTTGCGAATCACAAAGGTTCTTGATCAGGATATATAAGACGAAGGAAGGCCTCCAGCTCTTGCGGAGTCTTCCCTTCCAAAACCAATCTTTCGCAAAAAGCTTTACGTTCTTTTTGGGTTTCTTGAGCCAATCTCCTTGATTCGCTTTCGCGTTGCTCCTCACGGTCAAGAAAATATCGTTCTTTAGTCCAGCTGAGGGTAGATTTCCTATCTTCCATTTCAGCTTGAATTCTAGCTTTGTCCGCTTTCATTCTCGCTTCGTCGAGATGTTGGCGCCAATCTTGAGCTTTCGCAATGACCTCGAGTTTTGCGTCGTTTGCTTGTTGGATTGCTATAGCAAGCGCACCTTTTTGATCTTTAATATGGACATTGGATGGGTCGATCGATGGCAGTGGGTCCATAGCCCGGCGAGAGAGTGTTGCGCGGGCGTTTCGAGAGCCAGCGGATTGAGAATGAGTGACAGTCGTCAACTTCGTCGGTCTTGCGTCATCTTCAGAACTAGAGTCCAAGGCTCGTTCTTCTGCAGAGAGCGCAAACTTGCTGGTCCGAACCTTTTTGATTTGTTTGCCTTTGGTCAAATGAGAGAATGGCTTGATGGCACCGGAGGTAGACTGAACCTTTTTCGAGAGGTCTGCAAGTGGAGCCAGAGATACATTCAGATTTTCTTTGTCTCGTCCTTTGGGCGTAGGAGGTGGGGAGCTAAATTCGTCATTCAAAAAACTGCGGTAGTGATCGTTGAGAGCATCAGGGCTCCTCGGGGTTTCCCCAGGAGTTGCAGGTGAAGGTGAAATGGGTTGAGTATGGAAACCTTCTTCAAAATCGGCAAGGTGGTTAGGCTCTTGGCTGGGAAGGGGGCGTATCACTTGGGAAATCGGGGGTGGCCCTAAGGAAAACAAGTCAGGATGTCATGTTTATAAAGTTGGTCTCATGTTTAATTTTGGAAAACTTCAAAAATGAACTTACCTGGTCTCACGGCGGAGTGATCATGTCCATCAGTGGAATCACTTTCACCTACCTCAATGTCATTAAAATCTTGAGCACCCAGTCCACTGTCAAGGATCCCAAAAGGATTCACATTTCCTTTGTCCCGAAATAGACCATCCATCTTGGGATAACAAGGACACATCGACTCTAAAAGGGCTTCCATAGTATGAATACCTCGTGCGTGGTGCTTTGCCTCGAGACCAGCCCCGGTCTTTGAGCTGAGAGTTTTCGCAGATTGATACTTGCTCTTGTATCTTCAAAGACGCAGAAGGAGAGTACGGCCGGTCAAGTGCATATCCGTTGAATTGTGACGTTCATTGTAGTTGTTGTTGAGTTTAATAGCGAGAGTGTTCAGAAGAGTCTTTGGACTCATGGGCAAACCGGTCACCTTCGTTTGGCTGCCTCCCCCAAAGAGAGAGTTGAGAACATTGGGTTTGGCGAGGTAAGCCACAATGGTTTTGTAATCGACTAGTTCAAAAGGCGGGCTGTCTGTGTTTGACCTTTTAGTGTTACTAGCGCTGGCTGCTCGTTCCGCTCGTTTGTTGGCCGCGAGGCGGGATCGTTTCACTGCAGCAGCACTTGCCTTTGACCCTACCACATGGCCAGATAGGGCCAGGTCCGCCGCAATCTGAGCCTTAGTTCGGCGTGGGCGACGGGCGCTATTTTGAGAGCGACGTGGTGATGATCTTGGCGAAGCGTGCATATCAGATGAGGCAGATGACTCAAAGTCTTTCAAAGAAAACAAATTAGACCATTTGTACAGATCGATATGAATGAGGAAGTAGATAACCTACCAATTTGGTGAACCACTAGCAGACCGACGTAAAACGAGTTCGAAAGCAAAAAGCAAAGGTTATGGAATGGGGGGGTAAGAGCTAAACGGATGAATGAATATCCAAATAAGTGACCTTGATCAAACGAGAACAAAAAACAAGAAGAAAAAGAAAGAACCAATCATTCACAGGTGACAAGATGCCTAATCCAATATCCGATTTTTGATGACAAGAAAGAAATACTGCACATTGAGAAAACGCTCTTGTTGAGAAGCAGAGTACCTTATATAATGAAAATGCAGCGCGTGCCAGATATAGATCGTACCAGCTTCAACCAGGTTATGCGCGTGACTGCGCCTGAAATCAATATTGAGACTGAAATCTATTTGAGATGTGATCGTTGAACCTATCAAAACCCGATGTCCACCAAAAAGGACTTCGCAACACAAGCGTCCGAAGTCGGAATTGGCCTCTGTGCGTAACTTCACGTGATATCAAAAGGGCCAACCAAACCGATGTGGACGTCAGACGTTCTTTCTTGATGATACGATTTAAATCCGAAAAGGAGTGCCAAATTGAGGCGGACAGAGCTGATAACCGATGCTGAGAAACCTGGCAAGTGAAGCTGAGAGACCTAACGTTTAATACCCTGTGAATCCTGAAACGATTTCCAAATCAATGTCCTGAAGCGTGAGGTGAGAAAGTTGAGGGAAGCCAAAACCATGTAACCCAAGATCATGCAACGTAGGTTGACCAAAAGTACCGGGGGCTCAGAGCTACCGGCCCAGGAGTAGCCGGTAAATCAGGGACAACCAGCAAAAAAACCACAACTTGAAAAAAACAAACGTTGCAAAAAGGCACAAACAAATAAAAAAAACAAACGGCTAAGTTTTTTTTTATATCTTTTTTTCGCTGCAAGCAGGGAAGGGCTGTAAAATTTATAAGGCCAAATGTTGATTCTTAAAACCGCGAGCCACCTCTAGAGCTGGCTCGCGACCTTAAGATTATACATAAAATTTTAAGGAACCGAACAAAACTCAAATTTCTAATTTGGGTCGTAAAACGCCTACTTGAACCGCCCTATTAGTTTCAGCAAGACTTTGAACTTTCAGTCGCCTTTGAAGATTGTCATCTCGTTCTGTGAAAGATGTCTTGGAATCAATCAACGATCTTTCAACTTTTGCTCGCTATCCTGCTTATCGCAGGGTTCGGGTCTCATCTTTTCGTAGCTGCAAATGCTATAGATTGCAAGTTTGGTTATTTTAAATCCGGCTCCGTTTATGGTCAGTCAAAGATTTCTCAGTAGTCTTTAGCTTCTTCAAAATCGATCACCTGTCTTTACTTTTCAAGGATAATGTGAACTGATCCAAAACTTCAAACAACTCTTTGATGAATCTATACTCGCAGTGTGTACGGCACCAGACCACGTCACCTATATCTGCCAACATTGTGGAAGGGCCGATGGACTGTCACCCGGTGAGAGAGGATCTTATTATATCTTCATTCAATGGGCAAGTTAGACAGACAGCTTACAACTTGGTTCTAATTACACAGTTGGTCTTGACTGTGTTGATGAAGCCGGACACCAAGTAGGCAAGGGAAATTGGTGGAATTGTGACTACAAAATGGGTCCCTTGTCAACAACCCCTCGCGCAGACCAAATAAACATAGGTGAGTGATTTTGCATGTTTCATCTCATAAGTACTTTGATTGCGTATATCACTTCGAGATCTCTCGAGTTACGTTGGATCCAGAGAATTCGAACGTCTTGAGGCTTATGAAAAACTGACGTATTGAACTCTGATTCTTTCCTGGACATTGAAAACAAAAGTTTGTCAGCACTATATCAACGGGTCTGGAGGGGTGGGCACGTACTATTGCAAGTCTCCCGGTAGATTCCAACGTAAGTAAAACTTCCAGAACTCGTTTACGCTCAGATATATGATATTTACTCATCACTAACTGACACTCCCTATGGTTTAATCTTGATAATGTTTGCCATCAGAATGTACTTCGTGTAGCACATGAAACCATCACCATCCTGAGTTACCCTGCAGGTATACATCATTGTTGCATGTCCATGATGGTGTTTCTTAAAGGAGTTGCTGCAAATCATTGGCATGAGCCTTGTTTAGTCAAACCTTTTGCCCTTTAGCTCAAGAGACATGTCACTCATTGATATTGGAAATGCATACTTATTTATTTCAAGTATAAAGAGCTTCCATTCAATTAAGAAGGGCTATCAATGAGCTTACTAACTTGTAAGAGAGCTACATACTCAGATTTGTCACAAATGGTTACATTTCCTCCGGGAGATCACTTTTTCAAGGTTGCAGAAAATACCCAAAGCTTGCTTTTGAAAAATACACCAGCTTGTGCTGCCTGCATAGTAAAAAAGTGGACTGCTTTGAAGGCCTATGACTTGGAACCCATAAGATTGAAAAGACAGTCAATCCACCACAGCTTTGACACAACTAACCTGTATATTGATGGCAAATGACCAGTCATGAGCCATTACTTGATTCCATCATCCAAGCTGTGTCATCATGAGCACTCTTCAAATCACATTTCTCAAAAATCAGCTTCCTACCTCTCAATGTCTTGCTCATAAAACATAGCTCCGTGGGCTTTTTGGGTTAGGCTTGCAAAGGGTGGGTATACAAGTCAGCTACTACCGTCACGCACCCCCGGCAAACATCCTCTCAGGCGGAGGACATTTTTTTTATTTCATTTTTTTAAGTGTTTTTGTAGCCGCTAGGCTATCAAACACTTTTGTATGTCCAGCACCGGTAAAGTACATACAGGAATTTCACCTGTTTTACAGGTTCGGGCTATCGAACACGGTATGTGTGTCGTATCAAATGAAAATGTTGTGGCAGTGTGGCTGACGTTAAAGCCTAATAAGGCCTGATGGTTTCTTATACATGAGGCTTGCGACCGAACAGTACAGTGTGAGTGTGATTTTATATATAAAAGCTTCTTTGTTGAAGAGGATGTTAAGAAGTGCAACACCTGTCTTCTTCACGGGCCTTTCATAACCTGCTGTATCTCCGCTGTTAGCTTTATCAAGAACTTTTAGTCGCCTTTAACAGATTGAGATCTTGTTCTGTGAAATATGTCTTGGAATCGATCAACTATCATCTATCAACTTTTTCTCGCTATCCTGCTTGTCGCAGAGTTTGGGTCTCATATTTTCGTATCTGCTAATGCACTAGATTGCAAGTTCGGTTATCATAAAACCGGCTACGTTTATGGTCAGTCAAAAATTTCCCTTCAGTCGGTAGTTTCTAGCTTCTTCAAATTTCATCACCTGTCTTTCATTCCCAAGGATAAAGTGAACTGATCCCAAACTTTAAACAAATCTCTGATAAATCTACACTCGCAGTGTGCACGCCAGAAGACCACGCCACCTATATCTGCCAACATTGTGGAAGGGCTGATGGACTGTTACCCAATAAGAGAGGATCTTATTATATCTTCATTCAATGGGCAAGTTAAACAGACCGCTTACATCTCGGTTCGAATTACACAGTTGGTCTTGACTGCGTTGATGAAGCCGGAAACCAAGTAGGCAAGGAGAACCGGGGGAAGTGGTGGACTTGCGACTATGAATTGAGCCCTTTGAAAACAACCCCTCGCTCAGACCAAAGAAACACCCGTGAGTGATTCTGCATGTTTCATCTCATATATTTTGATTGGGTATCTCAATTTGAGATATCTCGAGTTCCTTTGAATCCGAGCGTCTTGAGGCTTTGATGCAAATTGACATACCAGAATACTGATGAAATGAATTCCAATTGTTTCCTGAACGAACATCAAAAACAAAAGTTTGTCAGCACATCATTGACAATTCTGGAGGGAGAGCCACATACTATTGCAAGGCTCCCGGGAGGTACCAACGTAAGTACAACTTTCAGAACTCGTTTGCGGTCAGACATATGATCTCAATAACTGATGCTTCCTATGGTTTAAACTCGACAATGTTTCCCATCAGAATGTACGTCGTGTGAATGTACTACGTGCAAATGAAATGTTTCAACCATCACCAGCCTGAGTTACCCTCAGGTAACTATTATTGTTGCATGTCCATGATGGTATTGCTTAAAGGAGTTGCTGCAAATGATTGGCATGAGCCTGGTTCGGTCAAACCTTTTGTCCTTTAGCTTAGAAGACGTGCCACTCATTGATATTGGAAATGCATACTTATCTATATGTCACGCCTTTGAATATGAACAACTGATTTCATGATTCCAATTCATGTAATAGTGATGCAGATAATTCTAAAGTGATAGACTGACAGGTAAGATACTAAACACTCATCGCGTCTTGGTTCATTTGTTTTTTTAGGGAGTCGGTTGGTAAATCAATTTACCAGGTGATGATGATGGAAGAAAGAACATAGTAGGTTTTAGTAAAGGAGTTGAAGGAGTCCGATCTCATGAAGTTGAAGATTGATGATTTGGTGGGTTTTGATCAGATGCAAAGGATGCGGTGATCTTACCCACTTCTGCCGAAGCCGTACCTCTCCTCGTGTTGCATAGTGCGTCTTACGTGGATCCTGTTTGCTTGCAGGATTCCTCCCGGAAGAAACTTCCGTGGCCAAGAGCATAATTGTTTTGATCTTGTGAGGGTGACGGCTCGTGACGCAACCTCCCAGAATTCGCTCGATCATCATGAACCCTTCTGTGTTCTTAACAAAGTCATCCCACTCGTTTTGAGCTGAGCGGCGAGCCTGTACTGGCCAGCTCAACGTTTGGGCAAAGGTCCTGAAAGGTCTCAAGTGGCTGACCAAAACCCCGTGGATAAAGGTATAGCCTGATTGTATCAATGAGGCTTGAGACGAATTCGGAAAGAAAATCTTCGTCGATGAACTGCTTTGAGTATATAAAGCTGCTTGGATAAAAGAAAACTCAGCAAGGAGTTTACTCGCTATTGACTTCCGAAATACTTTGGTATTCCATTCGCTCTTCAACTTGTGGAACAAATCTATCAACACCTTGTTTCCTAAAATATGTCTTGGAAGCCATCGATCCGGATCTTTCATCTTTTCCTCGTTTTCCTTCTCGCCGTCGGAGATCTCAGTTCACATATTTTCGCAGACGCTAATGCTATAGACTGCAAGTACAGTTGGTCTAAAGGACGCGCCCTGGAAGACGGGACCATACCATACTGTCAGTCCAATATCTTGACTTCAGTCTTCAATATTTCTATTTACCAAGATTCTTGAAAATTTCTTCCGACACTGTAAACTGACCCAACACTTTGAATTCCTTGCCCTAAATTATCATCATCAAAGTGTGTCATACTTCACTCAATACCGTTTACAAATGTACATGGTGTGGAAGGAATGATCATTTGATACCCTGTGAGAGATATTTTTTTCGTTTTCAATCGATGGGCAATGTAGATAAAACGCTTATCTTTCTATTGATCATCCAACACCACAGCTACGAGTAATTGCGTTGATTACAGTGGAAAAGTGGTGGCAGGAGGCGGAACATTGACTTGCGACATCGCAATTGCTGTCACAAGCGACCGTCCAGATGGCCGAACACTCAGTCAGTCATTTCGCTCATTTCAACTTCTATATTTCGACTACATACACTTGTTCGATATCTCTTGGAATTCCAAAAGATTAGTGGAACTCTGTAACAAAGCTTCCAAGCAATCCGACACGCCAGATCACTAATCCGTCGAACTTTGACTAATCCTTTAATCTTCAAAACAAAAGTTTGCACCCATACTGCAAGGGATAAAACGTCGAATGCGTACTATTGCATGACTCTCAAAGTCTTCCAGCGTAAGTTAAACTGATTGAACTCATTTGTTGTGAAGCAGATGGTTTTGACTCATTACTAACTCACCCATTTTGATGGTGTAAACTTGATGATGTTTGATATGTTATCTAGAATGTCCGCAGGGTTCGTGTAAAGCCGAATAACACGTTGAATTAATTCGTGTCTTGTCACATTTACAAAGTGGTTCAATGTGAGTTTGATCTGACTATTGTGTGCTATTGTTCCTCAAGGATGTGGCTACGAAAATTTTCACGATTTTTATCTAATCACACCTTTTGCACTTAAAGTCAGGACTAGAGGAAATGTGACTCGTTGGGCTTGGTCCGGATCAAAGCTCATCAGATATAACCTATGATATTTGTGGTATGTAAACAAGAACTGGCATTCCACTTAGAAAAGGCAGTCATCATTCCGGACCACCACAGAAAATGTCTTTACACCTCGACCAACCTCTTGGATGTGTTTCCAAACTAGTGTCCCAGTGATGACTTGCAACCCTTGATGAAATGCTCTGTATGTACCAAAGCCAGTGTTTTTTTACCGCCATTGGTATCATGTGTTCCAACTTTCCTATGGAGATATAAAAAAACAAGCCAATCAATCTTCAGAAGGACTCAGCTTCAGAGTCTCTATTTCTCAAAATAAATCCAATCTTGTCCTCTCAGAAATTAGAATACACTGGTGCTCAATCCTCAGCCTCAGAGCTGATGTTACTTAACCAGCTCAGTCAGCTGTCTTTCTGTTGAAACTTAATACCCAGAGCCCCGTCAAGTTATGTTGATTGAGGGCCAGTTTTTCTTGGTATACTACAAGCCCTTGCAATAACAAATTATACAAGAGTTCAATACGGCTCAATCAGTTTTCAAAACAACCTTAAAGCCTCAGCTTTTGTCTAATGACCCTAGTTGTTTGTTTGACTGAAATCTATCTATCCCCAAATTCTGAGCGTCATGAGAATGAACTTTCGAGCCCAATGACCCACACCTTTGCATTTTTGCAGGTCTTTCTAGTACAATCCCAAAGTGTTTATAAAAGGTGCCCTAGAATAACCAAGGAGGAATGTATGTGAGACAATTGAGCATGGCAGGCACTCCAGACATCTCGGTTTCTTGAAAATGAGTCATTGCAAATGCAAGTTGATATTGGTTTTGTTTGTTTGTTCTGGCATGAAGGTGTTTTTGTTTGGTTCCTTCTAAATCAGGACATATTAAAAATGGGCCAAAAGTGTGCATTCAGGGCAAGATCTTGTTACGTATGATGATGATGTTATGGACATGATGCAAAAGATACGGTGAGGTGAAGGTAAAAGTTGAGATATAAAACTTGATTGAAAATCCGAAACACCACTGACAGTCAGACTCACAGTACAAACCGAATTTATTTTTGGAATTTCTCAACTTTCACTCAACCACTTCCTCTTCCACTTCCTCCTCCTCTTACACTTTTCTTAACATTCTCAACTTTAGTTCGGCAAGAATGACCTCTCTCTCTAGCCTTCCATCAGGTCCACTTCGTTTATCCACTTCTTCAAAACCAATCAACACTTTCTCTCTTAAATGTCAGTCGATTTGCTCATTTCTTCAGTAATCCAATTCTTATCTTTTTTTTTTGATTCCTTTTTCTAGATCCGGCTTCTCATCCATCCGACTTATCCACCGCTGGTGCTGCTCTCTCTTCTACCGCTTCTGGTGATATCTCTCTACGAATCGCTCCAGGGGCTCATCCCGGTGAAGCACGTGGTCGAAGATGGGCCGGAAAGACGACTAGACCTACGGGTGATGTGGAATGTGCTATCGTTTGGGATCCTACTCAGAATGTGAGTCTTTCTTGAAACTGCTCATCAGATACTCATGGTGGACTGATCAAGCAGTTTGTGATGTGGTCTTGTTTTGGCTAGTGTTGGACGCTTCATCGAATCGATAATGTGGTCCAGTTGGCTCATGACGATCCTCAACCGTTACCCAGAAAGCCAACTACGACGATTCCAGCAGCCACCAGAGCAGCTCCACTGGCTCTTCCCAAACCCGCTCGCCCAGCTCCACCTCCACCTGTGATCTCTCAAGTTTCAAGGGAACCTTCTGCGGTGGTGAACCAACCCATCATTATCTCTAGTTCATCAGTCCCAAGCTCGAGTAAAGCTGACAGCAAATCATCTCAGCCAACACCTCCGAACCATCAGCGTGAACTTTCGGGTCGGTCAATGGCCACTGATCCGAGTACCAGTCGACAAAGTTCACTTGACTCCTCCTCATCCAAATCTGCTGCTGATCAACACCACGGATTAGCGTTGCCTTTGAAAAAGACTGTTCAGCCACTCTCTCATCTTCCCCAAACCACGGCTCATCGGATCACGAACCATTCGACGACCTCTACGATTTCTTCACCAGGAGATCAAGGTCCGATTCGTGTGGTACAAGCAGAAGAGATTGAAGAGTTTGATTTTGCTGATAGTTCACCGGATCGAGCTCCTCTTCAGCCGATCATTGCAGCTTCTCCTCTGACATTACCGAGTCCAGGAGTAGGCCAAGGATCGCGTTCGGGCCATTCTCATCCTCACACGAACTTTAGTCCAGTGGGACGACCTAGCTTGAGTCGCTCACCCTCATTGGTGGAGACGGGAACGGCATGCTCTCCTTTGGCTCGACCGAATGCTAGCCAAGGCTTGGCTTTACCGACTCGCTCAGCCGGTCATCGTGCTACTGCACCCTCTCCTGCGTACCAAATCAATGGAATCGCACCACGTTCATCAGCTGCAGTGGCTCACAACCAACCCACTGCGCCAAGTCCACTCCAAAGCGTGGCATACTCTTCAAGTTCTTCACCCACTGATCCAGTGCAAGGAGCACCTACACCCCCAGTCGTAGGTATCTCGCCTGCTTCACTCAATGCTGGCACCACTAGTAGTGCTACTGCTCTACGGGCTCCGCTGAACAGACCGGTACCGGGCCAATCACCTGCATGGCAACAATACAACCATCATCTCCAACACGCTTCTAATCCAGCTTCACCACATCATCTTTCTAACCGATCCCCAGCTCCATTGACGAACCAAAACCTAAGTCAACAAACCGGTTCGATGCCTACCCGAACGTATCATCGAAGTGATTCTGGAAGTTCGGTACGCGAAAGTGATTCGTCATCTGACGAAGAAAGTTCGGAAGAAGAAGTAGAAGAAGTGGAACCCATCAACTCAGTAGTCCCACTGCCAACGGTTGTTGCAAGCTCTCATCCTACTGTTGGGACTGGAGCGGTACCTAACTCTGAGGATGATGCAGAAGCTGATGAGGATGATGAAGAGGATGATGCCGAGTTTGAAAACATGGCCACCGAACTTGAAGCTAGTATGCTGATTCGTGATTACTATGGACCAGGAGCAGAAGAACCCAAGGGTTTGGAAGAGACGGTTCCTGCCACGGTAGTAGTTGCTCCCAAGGCTAAAGCTACTAAGAAGAAGGGAACTGGAACGGGTAATAAGTCGGGAGGCGGAGGCCATCGGAAAACGAGTGCTGCTGGTGCTGGTAATGGGAAGTCGGGAGGAGGGGGAGGAGGGGGGAAAGGGAAGTCTAAGGAAAAAGGAAAGAATTGAAAAAACAAAGTGAAATTGTTTGAAAATGTACTTTTTTGTGATTTTTGATTTTTGATTATCATTGTTTGGAATTCTTTTTTTTGTTTTTCTTGAACTTTTTTCGAGAAAGAAGAATGGTTGTTGTTGTTTTTGATTTGTATAGATATAGATAAGTAGGAGTGAGAGAGAAGTGTGTAACTTTTAGTAATATTTATTGATTTACAATTATTTAAAGAAAAGAAACTTTTTTTTTGAGGTTTTGATTGTTTGGGTTGTTTTAAGTGAGATTTGATGGTTGAGAATGAAATCAGAGAGAGAGAGAAGAAAAGTAAAATACTAAAATCAAATTTCTTAAAGTTACTCAGCATTTTCAGAACCAGAACCAATTCATCCGATTCATCCATCCATTCGATTCATCCGATTTATCAAGATGTTTGAGAAATTGACAAGTAAATTAAGAAATCAAAAAGAAACTGAAACAGAAACAGAAACAGAAGAAGAAGAAGAACTATCATTACTAGATCATTCATCCAATCGATTCTCTTCAACAACCCATCATCAAACCAGAACCGGAAGAAGAAGTCCCCGATCATCAAGACCCACGAAAACACTAATCATCAGTTTAATCATCAGTTCGATCATTCTAATCATCATCATCATCCTTTTCTCGATCCCAGAAAGAGTTCTAAAGAACCCATCCAAAGATTACCAAATCGATTGGAAAGCTTCATCACCTAGACCACCAGCCACATTCAAAAACATTTGGGGATTGAAATCACCTACAGTAGGATCGATCGAATGGAAAGAAATGTACCCTGGACCTAAACCCTCAGGACCGGTTCCACAACCACAATGGATCTCACGTTACAACTCATTAGTTCGAGAAAGACCTAATTTCTTATCATACATCTCATCTATACCTCAAGCAAACCTTTCGAGAACTAATGGATTGGCTGTTTATCCTGAGAAGACGGTGTTGGGATCTGATGGGATTTGTAGTTTTCGTAGAACTAGTTGTTTGAGAGGTTTAAAGGAAGATCGAGGGATGGGATTGCAGGATGTTTGGGATGGGGTACCTGGCACTTGGAGTGTGGGGTTTGATGATGGTCCTTTACCTCCGAGTGATAGGCTTTATAAATTCCTTGATACTCAAAACCAATCAGCTACACATTTTTGGGTAAGCTCTTTTTCCCCCTTACCACTTTTTTTATCCGATACATCTGATGTGTTTTGGTTTGGGAGGAGGTTTAGATCGGATCAAATGTTAGAGATCATCATGAACTGGCTTTGAAGGCGTATAAAAGAAATGATCATTTAGCAGTTCATACTTGGTCACATGCTCATCTTACTACACTTTCAGATCATGAAGTCTTAGGAGAACTAGGATGGACTATCCAAGTGATTTATGATTTGACGGGATTGATTCCTTTGTACTATCGACCACCATATGGAGATGTTGATAACCGAATAAGAGCCCTAGCAAAAGTAAGTTTCATCCCATTTCTCTTTTTCCCTGCAATTGGATTGATTGATTTTTTTTTTGGGAATAGTATGTGTTTGGGTTAAAGACTTTAATGTGGAACTCAGATACATCAGATTGGACTCTTAACCAAACCTACGCCATTGGAGATTACATAGACCCACCTATGCAAAACTTTGGAATTCAAGAATCTTTAAACCAATTAAACCATCATCTTAAAGAGAATCCAAACCAAAGACCTGTAGAAGAAAGAAAAGGAATGATTATACTTGAACATGAGTTGAGTGAAGAAAGTGTTAGGGTTTTTGAGATGAGTTTTCAGGATGTTAGGAAGGAGGGGTATGTGGTTTGTAATGTTGCGCAGTGTTTGAAGGCTGATTGGTATCAATGATCATTAGAATAATCAATTCTTTAGGGTTTTTTTATATATAGATTAATCGAAAACTTTATGAGGTTGTCACTTTTTCTTTTGAACAATTTATGACTTGTTTTTTACGAAATGATTTTTTGTGTATATATTTAGATATGAAACATTTCAAAATGAGTTTATCTTTTTTCTTTATTAAGATTGATGTTTTATTTTATTTTTTTTGAATGAGATTTATGAAAAATATTCAACTTGATGAAATGTTACATAGATTTATGATTTCTTTTTGAATGTATTTTTTGATTGATTTATTTAAAGTCATTTTTGATTGAGTAATTGTTGGAATTGATGAAGTGCAGCATTTTTTTTCCGATATATCCTTTTGACATTTTATTGGTTGAATGAAGATGGATTTGGTTTGCATGAGGTTTGATTATGAAATTAACTTAGAATTGAAACTGTAGTTGTAATGCAGTTTAGTTTCTGATATCATAAATTACTTCTTCTCCTTGTGCTTGTGCTTGGTTGGTGTTAGTTTGTTATTTTTTCAATTCCAATGGCTTTCATCAAACATCAACAACCTTCGATCGCTGGAATCCCATTAAAATATTTATCATTAATCACTTTAACCCTTCAAAATAGTTTACTCACTGTCCTATGTAAGTCTCTCTTTCTAACTCTAAGAACCAATCTAAATCTAATTCTAATTCTGTTTCTTTCTTTAGTGCATTATGTATGTTTAATTAAACCATCACTTCTTATACTTCAAAAAAAAAACTTCTTCCAGAAACCCAAAGTTTTCATATTGATTTCGATTTGGAATTGATTGATTGATTGATTGATTTTTTTTTTCTTCAGTCACGTAGTATTCCATCCGATCAACTTTATTCAGCTCCAGCTGCAGTCTTGTTAAACGAGATTTTAAAATGTTTGATTTCTTTAATCGTTGCAGTTTATAATTCTACAATCGTAACTTTAAATCTTCCTTCAACAAATCATAAAGTGGGTCATATCTGTAGGTTCTAATCATTTTTTAAACCGAATTTGAAAAAAAAAACGTTTCAATTCTAACAAATTAAACTTTACTTACTATTTTCTTTTTGGTTTTTTTTTTTGGTTTTTTTTGGTTTTTTTGGGATGGATTTGATTTGAAGCACCATTACTTAGTCCGAATACCGAACCTCTCTTTCCTCCATCAAATTCTTATTCCGATCCACTAAAAAACCCAGAAGGAGTTCATCAATTCGATCAAACTCAAAAATTTCTTAATCAAGAAGAGCCATCTTTAAGATTGATTATTATTAAAGAATTAATGAAAACTTTACAACAAGTTATTAGGTTAAAATTCTAAATCTATTTTCAATTCAAAGCTTTAACAACTAATTTTGTCTTTTTTTTTGGTTTTTTTTTTGGTTTAGTGGTGATTGTTGGAAACTTTCAATTCCTGCTATCCTTTATGTTCTTCAAAATAACCTTCAGTTTGTAGCTGCTTCTCATTTAGATGTAGCCACTTTTTCAGTTACTTATCAACTTAAAGTAAGTAAAACTCAAATCCAATCTCACCAAAAAAAAAAAAAAAAACTCTAAAATCTACAAACCTCAACTTTGAATAAATCGAGAAAAAGTCTTAAAATTCTGATTTTTTGGGGGTCGATTTTTGATATAGATTTTAACGACTGCACTTTGTTCAGTTCTATTACTTGGTAAAAAACTTTCCACATCAAAGTGGATTTCACTTTTTTTCCTAGCAGTAGGCGTAGCCCTAGTCCAACTCCAAAACGTACCAACCCCAACGACCACGACATCTAAAGAAACCCAATCAACCGATCGATTCATTGGATTCATGGCTGTCACTGCAGCATGTTTTACATCAGGCTTAGCAGGCGTATACTTTGAGCTAGTTTTAAAATCTTCCACAAAAGTAGACCTTTGGATCCGAAACGTTCAATTATCATTCTTCTCACTCTTACCAGCCCTCTTCACTGCCTTTTATTACTCTAAAACCCAAACTGTCGAAGGAGAAGGAGAAGGAGGATTGTTTAAGAACTTTGGAATAGCTGCTTGGTTAACGGTTTGGACACAAGTTATTGGAGGTTTGGTTACTGCTTTGGTCATTAAGTTTGCAGATAATATCTTGAAGGGATTTGCTACTTCTTGTTCCATTGTTTTGTCGAGCTTGATTGGTGTGGTCTTGTTTAAGGATCCGTTACCTTTAGGATCTAGTTTAGGCGCTTCGGTCGTCTTGGTTTCAACTTATTGTTATAATTCTTGGAGTCCTTATAGTGCTACTGGAACTGGAAATGGGGGAAGCGGTGGGGGGAAGGATGGAATGAATGGGACTTTGCCGGTTAGGACTCCGCTTAGGATTTCGACGTGGAGAGGTCAGGTGGGTAGGAATAAGGAGATGTGAGATTGGGTTGGATGGGATGGGAAGTAATGGATTCTGGAATGGGTGGATGGGTTTTATTGGATGAGTTGGGAAATGAAGATCAAGGTGTTTGGTTAGGAATTGGTTTTTTATTGGTTTTTTGGTTTTTGGTTTTTGGATGATTGAGAAAATATAATTTTATAGATGAAGAATTAGAATCTTTTGGTGAAGTGAAGTGAAGAAAATTGATGAAAATGGTTTGTGAAAGAAAGAAAAAAAAAACATTATGATTCAAAGGTTTGGTTTTTTTTTCGGTTGAATTCTTTATTTTAGATTTCATAGAATATATTTTTCATTTTTTTGTGATTTGTTTTTTTTGTTTTGAGCATATAGTGAAAGTTAAAGTTATAGATTGTACAAAATGTTATGAAGTTTTTGATGATCATGATGATGATGATGATATTGAGAGGATTAGAGGACCAAATTTGATCAGGAGTAAAGAGGATGATGAGGTTGTAAAGAGGATTGAACTTGAAGTCGGTTTTTGGAATTTAAAGCTTTAGAACTAGATGTCTACCAATCTTCTCGAGGGAACACGAGACTTTGGTTATAGACAGTTTTATGCAAACCTTCATGAATCCACGATTGCAAAAAAAAATGCAGAGGACTGAAAGGAACAAAGGGAGTATTAATATTGGGCGCTCGATATTGCCAAACTCAAGGACCACTATAAATGAGGATGTGAGATACAAAGTTTATCAAGATTTGGTTTTTCTATTTGATGGTATTTTTGAATGCTAGACTGTGGCTGATGATGATCAGTAGTGTATAATACCTACTACCCAAATTACAATTCGAGATGATTGGCTCATTACGGAAAAGGACATGGATTCTTATATTGGGTAGAAAGAATACTATGCTAATTCTAATCATGTGGCAATTGCAAGTTTAGTGGATTATGATCCAAAGTAAGATCAAAGTGATGTATTTCCCCTAATGTAATGTGTTGATACTCTCAATAGTGTATCACAAAATACTCGACACTTATCCTCAGTCTCAGCACTCAGTCTTCTTGTGATCAGAATCACATGCTGAGTTTTTCTTTTGTTCATCTTGTAAGAATCAGTTTTCCTGATCCTTTGCCTCAGCTCAGAACTCTTTTATATAATATATCTATTCTTGTGATTCATTTCATTCCTATTTGACACAGATAAGAAATTAATATCATTATTAGATCCACATTATATGCTTTCGCTCTTCGGAGTATTCCCTTCGTGACACTTTCATCCTCGCATCTCTTCGCATTCAAGTGACAGCTCTGGATCAGCTGTTCACGCTTGTGTCACACGACGTTTTACATCTATAGGTTATGAGCCCAGCGCTCTAGACGCGCCCTCTATATCAAATATCACCCTTTGACTCATCAAAGGCACTAACAAAGTAAATTCCATTCAAGACTACACTCGTCCTTCTTCTCATGTCGAAAATCCTTGACACCAAACCAGCCGAACCTCCAATCGATTACAAAATGTCGAACTCCAATTCGGGAACTACTAGTTTCAGCACATCCGCAATCTCATCCATTCCCAAATTAGCCATGGGGAACATATATGCATGGAAAACCGAATTAAAAATCTATCTCAAGATGAATGGCCTCTACGAGTTTATCGAAGAAGAAATCAAACGCCCGTCCGACTCTCAAGAACGGTCTCGTTTTGACATGCGACAGGCTGCCGCTCTATACGCGATTTGTAACACTATTGATTCAGCAAATTTATCCTCAATCGAATCACTCAAAGATCCCAAAAAGGCCTTTGAAACTCTCATATCTCAACATGGATCTGACAATGGCATTGTAACCGCAAACACTCTCACGGAACTCTTCAGCTTAAAATACGACCATTCCATCGGGATCACTAACTACATCGCCAAAATCCAAGACCTGCACAGCAAGATTCGCGATCTAACTGCTGGAGATAAAGACTTACAGTTATCCGATTGACTATTTGCCATACTGCTAGTCAACAGCCTTCCTCGTAATGATTTCGGACTTATAATCCAACATTTTCTATCAAACATTAAAACAATCTCTACAAGCGACGTCTGTGCTCGTCTGAGACTCGAAGCTAGTTCCACTATCAGCAGTGAAGAGAAACCAAAAGAAGTATACTCAGTTAAAACTCGAAAACCTATGCGATCCGACAACAGACGTGTAGGAAAGTCTCCTAAAGACATATGTCACATTCACTTTAATTCCAAACACACAAACGAACAATGTCACACACAAAAGAAAAATGAGAACAAGGATTCAAGCTCACTGTCTACTGAAGAAATGGCTAGACGATATCAAGCAATGATGATAAATTCAAATCAAACTAAACCGAACAATTCGAATTCAGCATCTGCCCATGTAGCTGTTGAAAACCATCCCACCGATGAATTCATCACATACTCTGCTTATAACGCTTCCACAAAAATCACTAAAAACAACTGTTTCTTAATCGATAGTGGAGCCAATACTCATATTGCTTGTCATGCAGACTTACTTTCTAATATACATACTATTCCCTATGTCAATATATCCGGACTAGGAGTACATGAAAAACAAGTCTCTGCGAAATTAGCTGGCACCGCTTACATAAAAGGAACAACCATTTCTGGTGAACCACGAATTATTGCCATAGAGGATGTACTTTTGACACCCAATGCTGGAGTTAATATCATATCAGTCTCATCAATGATCAAAGACGGAGCTATCCTATCAAGTGAAAAATCTGCTATCGTTCTTAAAAACTCGACAGAAAACTTTATCCTCACTGGTCATGAAACAGATGGATTATTTCTAGTTCAGGCACGTCAATCTCAAAATCTTTTCGCTGCTCCTGCAAATGTCCCTGCTGACATTTGGCATCGACGATATGGTCACCTAAACTACAGATCCCTGTCTAAAGTCACTCCCTCTTCGTCCACAAAGCTTGACTGTGAACCCTGTTCTTTATCAAAATCTCACCGCCTTCCGTTTTCATCTCACTTTCCCAAATCCGATACTCCGTTGTTCCGCATACATAGTGATGTACTAGGTCCTATGCCCACCACATCCATTGGTGGTGGCAAATATGTTGTTTCATTCATTGATGATGCCACTCGGTATAATTGTATTAAAATCATGCGATCGAAATCAGAAGTATACTCAAATTTTGTGCAATTTGTTACTGAATTTGAGAGATACCACAATAAGAGAGTCGTCATCTTGAAGTCTGACAGAGGTGGAGAGTATACCTCAAATCAATTCTCTCAATTCCTATCCCAACAGGGTATCTCCTTTGAGCGTGCTCCTGCAGAAACCCCTGAACAAAATTCAGTATCGGAAAGATTCAATCGAACAATCATGGAAAGAACAAGATCTGTTATGATAGAAGCAAATATTCCAAACCATCTATGGGGAGAAATTATAATGTCAATATCTTTTCTTCTTAATGTTTCCCCTAACGCTTCAATCGATATGGAAAGTCCTTATGAACTCTGGAATTCAGACATCCCTGGCGCCCACAAAATCAATAACAACTTCCTAAGAGCACTTGGATGTGCTGCGTATCCTCTATTAAAATCATCAGAATTCAATAAATTATCACCAAGGTCTCGCCTATGTGTCCATGTTGGTTACGAACAAGGTGCTCGTGCTTATCGTCTCTGGGATATCAAAACCAAAAAGATTATCGTATCACGTAACGTAATTTTTAATGAACGACTATTTCCGTTCAAAAACAAACTTAACACTGTTGCAGAAAGATCTAACACTGATGACATCTTTCTCCCATCAAACCTGACATTTAATCAGGAAACACTATCCACAAATGATACGACTCAGCCACCCGTCAACAATTCAGAAAGTACATCGGAAATTGTTGAAGGTAATAATCCAGTTCAACATCCTTCTCAACCACCATCCCATGATCCACAACTCCCATTTGACAAAACAAACTTGCAGTCAATTCCTCGCCAAAATGATACCATATCAATCAATTCATCCCCTTTCCTATCTCCTCAACAACTGACACCCATCTCTCCAAATTTCTCGGAACTTTCACTGTCTGATATCCAAAATTATCCACCTCGCAGTCCCGAATCAGTAATTGAATTCACCCCGAAGCAACTCATTCCTCTATCACAATCAATACATGCACCTAAAACCACATCATCAAAAGAAACAGAAAACCAAGTACAAATACAAAAAGAAAAAGAAATTCAAAATCAAAATCAAAATCAAAATCAAAAAGAATTAGAATTAAAATCAAAACAACAAAATGAAAATGAAAAACAAATCAAACATCAAAAAGAGCTAGAGTCAAAATTAGAAAAAGAAAAAGAACAACAAAAACAAAAAGAACAACAAAAAGAACAACAAAAAGAAAAAGAAAAAGAAAAACAAATCAAACATCAGAAAGAACTAGAGTTAAAATTAGCTAAAGAAAAACAAAAACAAATTAAACAACAAAAAGAATTAGAATTAAAATTAGAAACAGCAAAACAAAACCAAATCAGATATCAAAAAGAATTAGAATCAAAATTAGAGAAAGAAAGAGAAACACAAAGAATTGAAGAAGAAAAACAAGCAAAAGAAAAAGAAAAAGAACAACCCAAAATAATCATCAAAATCAAAAGACCAAAAGATAACAATATCAATGAAATTCAGAACAATAAAGAAAAAGAAAAAGAAATTCCGAAAAAGAAGAATGAAACAAATACCAACAATGAAAATACAGATCCTATATCAGAAGACCAACACAAATCAGATAACAATACTTCCAATCCTTCTGAGAAACCTCAAGAGCAAAAATCAAATAAACAACAACCAAAAATCATTTCCAACCCTACCTCTCTACGCCCTGCCCGCGATAGAAAACCTCCTTTACGTTACGGAAACCTCACAATCTACGCAGCAAAAAGAAGTGCCGATTGTCCTTCGTACACTGAGGCAATGAGAGGAAGCGAACGAGAGAACTGGATCAAGGCCATGGAAAGCGAATTTAATTCATTAACCTCTCACAACGTTGGTGAACTAGTCGATGCCCCCTCAGAAGCGAATGTCATAGGTGGTATGTGGCGTTTAAAAAGGAAACGTGACGAACACGGAAACATCATAAAATACAAAGCTAGATGGGTAGCTCTAGGCAATCACCAAATATGGGGTGTTGACTACGATAAAACATTTGCATCCGTTGTTCAATCAGACACTATGAACATGTTATTCTCTCTCTGTGCTTCCGAGGATTGGGAAATGGAACAATTCGATATATGTACTGCTTTCCTCAACGGAAAGAACAAAATGCCTGTTTACACAAGACAAGTTCAAGGTTTTTATAACTCAAAGTTTCCTAAGAAAGTCTGGCTACTCAAACAATCCATCTACGGAACGAAACAAGCTCACCGAGAATTCAATGCCGACCTTGATGAAAAACTTCGAAGCATCGGTTTTATTCCCTACAAAGACGACAACTCCCTCTTTACTTTTCGAAGAGGTAATGAAATCATCCACATCCCTATGTTTGTTGACGACGGTCTAGTATTTTCGAATTCAAAATCCCTGATCAAAGAAACTAGAGAAAAACTAGAAAACTTATACAAGCTAGTGTGGACCACTGAACCTACCTTACACCTTGGAATCAAGATCACGCGAGACAGAAAGAATCGTACAATTCATTTATCTCAAGAACATTATCTGAAGAACGTTCTTGATCGTTTCGAAATGACACACTGCAATACTACATCTACTCCTCTCCCAAACTCCGTTGAATTATCTCCTGGTACCAGCGAAGAAATCTTAGATGCAGCTCACCTACCCTATCAGCAAGCCATTGGCTGTCTCAACTGGGCCGCTGTCCACACTCGACCGGATATTCAATATGCCGTATCAACGTTAGCTCGTTATTCATCTAAATACACATACAGACATTGGCAAGCTGTAAAACATCTTTTCAGATACGTTCAAGGAACTTTAGAACGTGGTATATTATTCAAGAAGCACAACACACCATCAACCGAACTTCGTGCCTACGCTGATGCCAATTATGCAGCCTGTACCAAAACTCGCAGATCAACAACTGGTTATGTATTCACGTTAGGCGGATCTCTAGTCAGCTGGAAAAGTCGTCGCCAACCCACTGTAGCTCTATCTACCACAGAAGCAGAGTATATGGCACTTGGAGATTGTGCTAAACACTGCTTATGGTTTCTTAGAATGATATCTCACCTGACTCAAACCCCCATTCCAACATCTCCAATATCTCTCCCTCCGCTAAGTATTTTTAACGATAACAATGGAGCAATATTTCTCTCTCAAGAATCGGCTACAAACAGTCGATCAAAGCACATAGACATTAGGCATCACTTCATTCGCGATTTAATTTCCTCACATCAAATATCTACTCATATGATCGATACAAAGTTAATGCCAGCTGATTTCCTCACAAAGAATGCTCCGAAAGAAATGCTCAATCGATGTCGGTTCTTAATTGGTAATGTAGATACCAACGAACTCCATCTTATATCTACGAACTCACTTCCTATCCCTACAAAAGTATCGAGCAAGGGGGGATGTTGATACTCTCAATAGTGTATCACAAAATACTCGACACTTATCCTCAGTCTCAGCACTCAGTCTTCTTGTGATCAGAATCACATGCTGAGTTTTTCTTTTGTTCATCTTGTAAGAATCAGTTTTCCTGATCCTTTGCCTCAGCTCAGAACTCTTGTATATAATATATCTATTCTTGTGATTCATTTCATTCCTATTTGACACAGATAAGAAATTAATATCATTATTAGATCCACATTATATGCTTTCGCTCTTCGGAGTATTCCCTTCGTGACACTTTCATCCTCGCATCTCTTCGCATTCAAGTGACAGCTCTGGATCAGCTGTTCACGCTTGTGTCACACGACGTTTTACATCTATATAATGGCCAAAAGATTTGATCAGACAAGAGTCATAACAATTGTTTAAATTCAAGCAAAAACACCATGGACAGCTAATGATGATGTTCACCCTGCAGGGTCAAGCTGGCTAGTAATATGAATGCAAGGTTTCATTTGGTACACAAATCTTCCGGACATTCTAGATGACATAGGTTTGAACATTTGTCAAGTTCAAACCATAAAACGGGCCAGTTAGTGATAGATGAATATCCCAGACATGAGTCCTAAAAGTTATACTTACGTTGGTTCTTGTTAAGACTCTTGCAATAGTACGAGACCGGCGTGGCAGATTGTCTGCAATCTATTGTTCTCAAGATTCAGGGATTGACCAAAATTGAATACGTCAGTAAATCGGATTCTAAGATTCTGGTGTTGGAATTTGTAAGGAAGCTTCAACAAGACGTTCCATTGCACCTCCAGACTTCTCGGAAAGGTGTACACAGTCAAAGTATCCATGAGGTAGAACATGCAAAGTGACTAACGGTAATCTCTGCCGCCTGTCCCTGGGATTGGAGCCCATCTGAATTCGAGGTCACAAGCCCATAGGTCCCCACCGTTCATTTGTTCTCCCTGTGAGTTGATGCAGTCCTTAGCCGCTGGGCAATGATTTATCAAACCAAAAAGTAAGTGGTCGCTCTGAACTGTCCATCGATTGAAAACAAACAAATTCTCTCCTACAAGGTTTTAGCCCATCATTCCTTCCACACCATGTGCAACTCCAGGGGACGCTGCCTACACCATGGGGAGGTCTCACTTCACAGGCTTTGAGTATGAAAATGACGTTTAAAATTCTTGGTCAGTTCACACTATCCCGAGAAACAAAAGATGGATGATTGATAGAGTGAAGGGAGATATCTGACTGACTCCATCCTTTCCGATAGCCTTTGTAATTCCAACCGTAGTTGCATTCTAGAGCATTGGCATCTACGAAAATATGTGACCCAAGATCTCCGGCGAGTAGGAAAACAAGCAGAAGATGAAAGACTGGGATTGATGGCTTCCAAGACATACTTCACAGGACAAGCTGTTTCACCAGTCGTTGAGCTATTAAACTTTCAAAGGGCTGTCTGAACTTGAACTTAAGAGCGAAGAAGCAGAAAATTGTTATGAAGAGCCCTCAAATTTAATGAGAGAAGACGGGGTTTGTAATTAGTTATATTCCGTTAGCAAAGTATCCTTTATATAGCCATCACATTTCAATGTCGATATCTCACTGTTCCGTCTCAAGCCTCGTCTATGAGAAGCAGTCAGGCTATAACTTTTGCCAAGGGTTTTCTGCCAGCCACTCTTTGTTGAGAAACAGCCATGGGGTTTTCACTTGATGCTAGACATAATACATTTGTGCTTGATATTCGATATTCAGAATTTGATCACTGAGATGTTTCCAGGAAATCTCCACAAACGAGATAGGATTCAATTCACAACCTTGTGTTGATGGTAAGGCGCACTGAGAAAGTCGCCAGCTCGGCAGGTGAGATTCTCAACACATCCTTGGACCTAGGCTCATATGTCCTATGATCCTTTTGCCACCTCACCTCATGGTACATATCGGTGTTCATGATCTTTATTCGGCCCTCTCTGGGACAAGGACCCCAGAATCCTGAAGCAGCTGTGGTGATCTTATAAAGGCGTTTGGGAGAGCCAAACGGATCAAGGTCAGTTAGAAAAGAATAAAATAAAAATAAGAGAAAGATGTATTCTTATCTTCTTATATATAAAACAACAAACCCAATATTAGGAGTATTCAAAACTTGGCAGGATGTTTGAAAGAAGCCTGCTCTGCAATGTGCATTTGTCTGACCGCATCTTGCATCTAAAATGACGTCAGGTCGTGACGCCCAATGAAGGCGTGCCCACTGGGATTCTCAAGGGAGTGTAAGACTATGGACATACATACCTCTGTGCACAGCAGGGACATTCGTGATCCATAAGACACACAGTTGATCAGAGGAATAAACAGTTTGGGAACAGGCCAATTACTTGATGCGTCTTAATAATTCAGATGAGGAGAAATGAAAGATCACAAGTTTGTAACAAATGATACTATTATGATGATATGGTGATGTGAGGCTAGTGGATTTTGATTTGAATCAAGTTCAATGAGTCACATCTCCCCTTACCCCAAGCCAAGAGGTTTGACTAAACAATAATCATCACGGTTCTTGGTAACAACTTCTTCAAGCATCACCATTATGGACATGTAATGATGATATTCATCTGCAGGGTAAACCAGGATAGTAATGATTGTAACCTCTCATAAGGAACACAAATTCCGCGGACATTCTAGATGTCATAGGAAGAAACACCCAGTTAGTGATGAGTGATTATCAGATGCTTGACCTCGCACAAGTCCTAGAAGTTATACTTACGTTGGTTCTTGTTGTGACTCATGCAGTAGTACGTTTCCGGCGTGGCAGATTGTCTGCAAACTTTTTTTTTCAAGAATCAAAAGTTAACCAAGATTCAATACATTGTCATTGATACATAGAGCTCCCGTGTTTGAATTTGCAAGAAAGCTTCAAGACGGTCCACTAGATTTGATGCACTGAAGAACCGATGTATGGAGTGAAAAGCTGAAACATGCAAAATGACTTACCGTAATTTCTGCCGTGTGACCCAGTGACTTGACTCAGTGTAAACTCGAGATCGCAAGCCCACAGCTGACCCCCGTTCATTGGAGTTCCTTCTCCGTTGATGCAATTGTTACCAGCTGTGCGATAGCCCATTGAACCAAAACATAAGCGGTCCCTCTACATTGCCCATTGATTAAAATCAAGACAAAATCTTTCTTACAAGGTTTGAGATTATCATTTCTTCCGCACCACTTGCAACTCCACATGAAGAAAGAGTTCTTCTGCAAACTTAACCCGTCCCTCTCCCTCGCAAAACACTCGGGCTCGAGAGAGGGACTTTGTTATGACCTGTCACGCGTGTTACATGTAGAGTTCATACTAGTCTTGTCTCCCGTTGTGCATATTGCTTTTCCTCACTTAGCAATCTACTATATTCACGAGACCACCCTTAAAGCTTCTCTTGCATCTCCCTCTCGAAGCTACAACATATTGCTAAGTCTCATCAAAAGAGATCCAAGAGAAGAATCACCGAAAGTAAGAAGAAATCAAAACGAACGATTAAGAAGAAAGTTAAAAGAAGTTAAGAAGAAAGATTTTCAAAGTTAATAAAGTTAAATTAAAGTATAAACTTAATCTGCACTCCGCAAGCAAAGTTAGAAGAAAGTTGATTACTCAGTATTACCACAGAAGTAACATTTAAAGAAGATAACTTATACCCCGCATAATCTCGAACACCACTGCATCCTTCCAAAACGCCAAACTTTAAGCTTCCCTCTAACTCAACGGACTCGGAGTCATCGGAAAAAGAATTCTACGAGACAGAAGAGACCGCAATGAATCCAGAACACGAACAGCCCTCTATGGCCGAGATTTTACGGCAAATGAGAGAATTAAACACTCAATTCTTAGAGGTCAAAGCAAGCTTAGCTGAAGAATCGCAGAAACGAGAAGAAGCTGAGAGAAGAAGTGACGAAGCAGAACAACGACTACGTCAATTTGAAACAACCCGCACTACCTCCACTCAACTACCTCACAGCTCCGCCCCGATCGCTCAGACCTCTGTTCCGCAAACGATTAGTCAAATAAAGCCTCCTAAGATCGCCACTCCGAATAAATATGATGGTACTAAAGGACAGAAAGCCGAAGTTTATGTTAATCAGGTCTGCTTATATATGCAAATGAATGCTGCTGCATTTGTGAACGAACAAGCTCAAGTTGCGTTCGCGTTATCTTACCTTGATGGGAAAGCCAGTATTTGGAGCCAAAATTTTACCGATCAACTACTCGACCAAGATAAAATGAAACAAGTTACTTGGAAAAAATTCATTGAATCATTTAAAGCAACGTTCTTTGACTCTGAAAGATTGGCTAAAGCAGAAAAAGAAATGAGGGTGTTAACTCAAACAAAGGCAGTGGTAGATTATTGGATTAAGTTTTCGGAATTAGCGTTGATAGTTAAATGGCCTGAGAATGTATTACTATCTCAATTTAAGCAAGGATTAAAGAAAGAAATCACGGTGCATATGGTACGGGACGAATTCAAGGAAGTTGAAGAAATGGCAAAGTTAGCTATTAAACTTGATAATGAAATTAATAAAAGAGACTCCAACACGCACCACCCAATTGTTTCGACCAACACAACTTCAACCTCAACCACTATTACTGATCCAGATGCAATGGATTGTTCGGCTTATCGTGTTAACATATCAAATGAGGAGTATAACAAGAGAGGAGCAATGGGAATGTGTTATAGTTGTGGTAAAGATGATCATTTTATTAGAGACTGTCCAACTAGAAAAAGACGTGGAGGTAGAGGAGGTTGGAGAGGTAGAGGAGGATATGGAGGTTATGGGAAATTCAAAAGTAAAGTTGCTGAAGTGGATGGTGTCAAGGAAGAAGAGAAGGACGATGGAAGAGCTGAAGCCTCAAAAAATGGAGGCGCTCGGGAGTGCTAGTGGTGCCACACTCGAGCGGTAATTACTTAACTGAAGATTGTAGTAGCTTAAATTCACTTGAAATAAAAGATACGCGAATCATTGATTTTGTTACTATTTTCGAAGTTAAGAGTGCCACCCCCATTGTTGCGAGAGCCTTAGTAGACAGCGGTGCTACACATGAAGCAATGAGCCACCGGTTTGTCTCTGCCAACAAGTTCAAGACGGACCCATTACCTCAAACCAGAAGTGTAACTGGTTTTAGTGGTCACGAGTCAAGAATCACCCATACTGTTGACCTCTGTGTCAACTCCATTGAATCAACACCAACCACCTTCATAATCACTGAATTGCGCGACAAGTACGACATAATTCTTGGAATGCCTTGGATACGACAAAATTTTGAAAAGATTGATTGGAAGAACGGTCAACTCAAGGAAAATCATTCACTCATTGCAGTTGTAGAATCAACTTCGTCAAGACCGGACAAAGCCTCGAGGAACCACAAGGAGGAGCCTATGAGGCATGCTAGGAATCTTGACGAGGGGGTGGAGCCTGAAAACTCATTAACACCCCCGCAATGTGCGTATATTTCTAATTATTCAAATGACGAAAAAGAAGCAGCTAGCAAGCCATTACATCATGTAGAAAACTTAACACACACGAATTCGAACGAACACATTCAACTGCCGGAACAAGAGAAACGAAATGAAACTGCAGCTGACCGTAAGGCAGCTTTGTTGGTGCCGAAAAACCCCTTGGAGGACCACGAAAGACGGGATCCTACGAGGCAAGCTAGGCACCATGACAAGGGGGTTGAATTCAAGTTGAGTTCGTCACAGCCCCCGCAGAGTACGTGTAAACATTCTTCAATCTCAAATGTGAATGAACATGCTGGCAAGCGTTTTTCTTTTCAACCACAGCATGCTATCCAACGACTCAACTCAAGCCTAAATCGTCAAAACAAAGTGATGGATCAACTACGAACTTTACAACAACCGACAAAATCAATGATTGATGTAATGAAAACGTCATGGAACCTGTCTGCGAAGATAGCAGCAGATCAAGTGAAGGACTCACCTACTAAGAACGCGGCTGAACTCGTACCCGAATGCTATCACGACTATTTACCTATGTTCGAAAAGAGCAATTCTGACGTTTTACCACCTCATCGCCCATATGATTTCAGAGTTGATTTGATACCTGGAGCATCGCCACAAGCAGGAAAAGTTATTCCTTTATCACCGAAAGAAACTGAAGTGCTTAATGAGATGCTTGAAAAAGGACTGAAAAATGGAACAATTCGCCGTACAACTTCTCCTTGGGCAGCTCCTGTCTTATTTACCGGCAAGAAAGACGGAAATTTACGACCCTGTTTTGATTACAGACGACTCAATGCCGTAACTGTAAAGAACAAATACCCCCTTCCACTGACAATGGAACTAATAGATAGCCTACTAAATGCAGATGAATTCACGAGTTTAGATATGAGGAATGGGTAT